CATCTCGTCAATCCTTGCATTGACACGTCATCAGTTTTTTTTTATAATTTAAAAATAAGTCCTAATACAATATTGGGTAAATAGATCGATGCGTTACTTCAGTGCGTGTTGACCTAACCTTGTTGCTATGGTGTTGACGGACTTCACACGTCTTTGATTTATGTGTATACAAAATATTTAGCTACCGGTTATTATAGTCTATTTTCATATCCAATATTTAGTTAGAACGAGGTAAACAGTGAGTTATCTCAAATAAACCGTTCATTCGTTATCATAATTCTGTAACTTTCTATGCATTCACGTAGCTGTTCAAAATGAAGATATATAATGGAGAAACACACTGAGAATCACTCTACGTTTATGTCATAATGCTGCAGCTATATTAGTAGTATAGTTGTAGCACGAATGGGTCGGCTCGACTGGGGAAGGACCACGCTCTCACAGAAAACCAGCGTAAAATAGCAGCTTAACGCTGCTGTGTTTCGTATGGTGAGTGTAGAGAACCGGAGACCCTTTTTACTGGCAAAGAGGCATTCCATCTTAGTCCTCACGGGTGACAACGCATCTGCATCTTGAGTCTTTATTGAGGATAGATGTAGATGTCTATGGGTAACCACTTACCATCAGGTGGACTGTGTGCTCGTTTGCCACCCTATCCTATAAAAAAAGTAATGAATTTTAAGCCGAATAAAAACAACACGGGGTTCTGAATTCAACTGTATGTTTTTTTTTATATTAACTCTTTCGCTGTACCATGTACTAAGATACATCAGGGTCATATTGTCACCTTAAGCTTTGCCGCCCTATAAAACCAAAATTAGGAGGAGGAGAGAGACAAATACACAATGTCGCATACTATAACTAATATATTAAGAAAAAAAATAGCAAACAAGCCTTGGCAATAATTAGGAACACTTCGAAAAATCAACTTAAAAAAAAAACTAACTACACTACCCTATACTAAAATCGGCTAAAATATTTTCTGTAATATCAACTGTCAAAATGGCGTCGATAAATCTGTGCCCTTTTGACTCTTTATTATTTGATTGACTTATGAAGAGCTATCGTATCACAAAGCCACCTATTCAAACAAGACTGTAGTTTTTGAGTTATATCTTACGTGGTAGAGCCAGGGCCGGATTAACCATATCGGGGTCCTTAGGCAAAGGGTTGTGAGTAGCATCACCGGATTGATGCTTAGCTCCTCAGGTACTTACTGTAAAGGATTTGTATTTGGGCTCATTGAAATTGTCTTAATGAATAGGTTGTAGATAAGTGAGGATCCAGTTTGCAAAACTCACAAAACGCAATTACAGATCAAGGTTTTGAAAACTTTTGTATATCATACAATACGCTACGTATCGTATGCATATTATTAGTTCTACTACTCGATACTCGATGGTTCTGTTCTGTAAGTACGAAGTATTTCATCCACTGACAGTATGCGTAGCTAAAACGTAATAATACCTATTGTCACTGAGGTTACAAATTTTCCAATTAAATTTTCTCTGTATGAAACATTTTCCATTATATTTGTGCGCGCACGGGGCCCCTACCCGATGCGGGGCCCCTAGGCACTTGCCTACTCCGCCTAAAGGTTAATCGGGCCCTGGGTAGAGCCATGCTGCAGCTATACGTCAATCTAGGTAGTTGTTACCTCCCCCTCGAACGTGTTCCCGCCTTGTCGTGGCGGGGGGGGGGGGGGGGGGGGCTTAGTAGTCTCGGCTTGGTCACCTGCGGTGAACAAAGAGGAACCCCTTGATTGGTCCGTGGTGTCTGGCCAGCCCGAGGTGGCCACTCCGAGTGGGCTTGGCGAGCTCACTTCGGATGTGTGTTGGTTGCTGATGCGAGAGGGGTCCCCCAGCGGTGCAGTCGAGTTGAGGCCACGGGGCGGGAGAAGTGTCGGTATTGCGAAGCGTCGCTCTCCCTACCCTCTGCGGCCAAAACTTCGTTGGCGGTGGAGTCAAAGAACAGATCCGGCGCTGGGGTCGGGAAAGCTGGTGCTACCAAGCGCTCGATTTTCCTGTGGGGCGTTATGCAGGTATAGTTGGAGGCCGTGGAGGGGTGTGTGTCTTGTATTCCTGGTGTGCCTTACAGGTAAGCCCCACCTCGGTCCTCATTCTCCTCCTCAGGAGGAGGAGAATGAGGACCGAGGTGGGGCTGCCATGGGGCGGCCGGCGTTGGTGGGGCCGCGGATGGATGCGAAAGCGTTCCCGTGGCCCTGCCAGTATGTGGCTAAGGGGGAACACCATGGAGTTTTAGTCGGTGCGAGTCCCATATAACCCGTCCTTGCCCCCGCGAAGCGGGTATGTGTAGGCAATTCCCCATGTAAAAAGTTGTTACCTTGAGCTTGTGATATTCGTTAGTCCACATAAAGGGGTCAAAAAATTAAACTTTTAATAAAAAGTAAAACCCGTTTTCAAAGAACTGAAAGAAATAAAATAATTTCGAAATCGGTCGTCGTCGCTTCTTATGTCGGAGCATTAATTCTTCTATCACACTTGTCTTAGCATCGACTTCTGAAGCTGTTATGAATTATTCCTTTCAGTTCTTTGAAGTCGTCTTTAATTGAAAATTTAATTATAGTAATAAAAAAATGTGCGTATTCGGTATTCAGTTCCTTTAGTCAATATAACTTTTTAAGTATTATCAGATCTTTTATCGCTACTTTGTTAAATAAGCGAGGATTAATATTCGCCTCCATAAGTGGCGCCATTTTGCAACCATAAATTGCATTAACAATGCAAAATGAAATGTATTGAGGAAGTTTTTAAATTGTCAAACATCACACGAAACGTTTTCCTCGGTCGCTGAATGCGTTTAAAGATGCAATTTCATTTTTAAATCTTTTGTGATAAACTGCGGCGCCTCGTCGTGCGTCATTCGACAAATTATATCACTCCTTAAATGGTTTTTTCAAAATATGCAAGGAAATAGCATTATTTTATTCAGTAAGGGACAAATAAGTACAGTCTACTTGATTGTAAGATGATATTGTTGCCGAAAAAACATCTATATCTATTTTCGATTAAATTAATCAAAATGCAGATACCTACGTTGTCACCTCTAAAGACTAAAATGGCTCCTCGTTACCAGTGAAATGGTTTTCCAGTCCTCGTCACTCACCATACGATGCTGTACGAAACACAGTACCATTGTGTTGCAATTTTAACTGGTATTCTGTTGGAGTTCCAATGCTCAAAAAATGCAACAATAGGTACAGATTTTTTTTCGTCGTTTTTAGTATTTTCATATATAGTTTCGGTTTAGAACAGTTACATATTTTACTATATTCTCATTATTTTAATCCGTAAATACATTAAGCCAAGAGTGTACAACTGTACAATTGCTAGCAGTTAATGTTATCAGTAATGAAATATGGAACTGAGACGTCGTCCTTCATTGCCGATCGTATGTGGGAGCTCATAGTAGCTCAGCTATGGCGAGTGTTATGCTCGAAATTTCTCTAAATGATATAATCCATAATAATACCTAAAATCCGAAGTATAACTACAGTAATCAACGTAGTCAAATAGATCTTAAGCTGTAGTAGCAGTCGGCAACTCTTATTTTGAATATTGCAACGATGAACCGACAGGAAACGGGTAAGAAAGGTTTAAGAGTGTCAGCCTCATACCAAAGTAGTTCAACGTCATACGTAAGTGCAGTGTAGAACAGTAAGTATCTTACAAAATGGAATGTCGATCTGGTATTAGATGAGGCATTATTTGAGAGAGACCCTTGTTCAGCTGGGGACTTGTGAAGGGTGGTAGAGGGTTAAATAAATAATGGTATAGTTTCAGTTGCCCTCTATTCCTTGGAAGGTATACAGGAACACTACACTTGGAAGGTGTGTGTACACACACAGGGAATACACACATATGTCACACTGCTTTCTTATTTGTGTTGTTTTTAAAATAAGAAAATAATATAAATCTAAGTAAAATTAACTAAAGTTAACTTATTTGTTGATTTAACTATTATTATTTAATAAAAAGTATTTTTGGTGTCTTTTAACAGTATAATAAATTATATATTTATGTTCATCGTTTTTCCATTAAGTGCATTAAATATTAAATCAATTAAATACACACATATATAATATTATTAGAACGGGTGATATCTGGATTTCGACAACAGCCCAACTACCAGATACCAGATCCAATTGTGAATCTAAACTATCCAGGAACCCATTCGAACGCACATAAAAAAATTCATCAACTTATAGCCGTTTTCGAGTTATAGCGAGACTAACGGACAGCAATTGATTTTTAATAATAATAATAACTTTATTAAAAAACTTTAAACATGTAGTACATATAGAACAAAAAATGTTTTACATGAAATAATAAAAATTAGGTAAAAATACTAGTGAGGGTGAGGGTGACGTTCTGTTCTCCTTGCTAGACTATAAAATAGTCTGTATTAAGGAGATGCAGTCCCTTACCCCCTTACAAAAAGGGAACAGAAAAAAAATGCTCTTAACTTTTTAGTACTACAGATTTTTAATATAAACATAATCTCTATAATTTTTATATATTATAGAGATTATGACGCGATTACAAATGTTAAAAGCGTTCCCTATACCAAATTATGACATCTATCGGCAAAGATGGAAACAAAATTGTAAACCCGAGTCATTTATATCAAAGTTAAACATCCAAAAGGAAGATAGCTAACAGTCGCTATTTGGGTAGATGTCGCTAGCATACATCTAACCATTTTTAATATTTCCTTGATTTAAGTTATTTGTTTTGATTCGAGTTGATGCAATTATGTAAAAATGCTCTATCTTTTTTCACTGAATCTAACTTTAACAAATGTGTCTCGTAAACGTCATTTTTGTAGTAATTTATCAACACTGATACCTAAATTTAGAAGTAAACAAAAATAGACTAATAATTTTTTTCAATTTATAGTCGATACACACTAACTGTTTACTATTTGTTGCAGATATGCGCGTAGGTGCGGCCAGCATGTGTGGTGTCACATGACCGTCGATGGCGTCCGACACGCGTTCGCGTTCACCGCAAGATGGCACGAGAAGAAGGCGCGACTTCTCCAGGTCCCCTGTATTTACCAGTTTTTATATCCTTTATATTATTATAATATACTTTGGAATTAATATTATAATGAATTGCACAAGTGGGTGTCGTAAGAGGCGACGAGGGAAACAAACCAGGAGACGGACAGCAGTGTCTACCTAATAACCGCTATAAACAAAAAAAACTACGGTTGCTAACCCGCTTTCCAAACGTGGTGACTATAGCAAAATCCCCCCTATCAGGCAATTCATGAGGGAGGCCTATGTTAAGCAGTGGACTTTAATATGCTGTGACGGAATTGAATTAAGTATCTTATACTTTTTCTATTTTATGAGCTACTTTTAGTCTACTGCTAGAAATATAATATATATATTAGGTTATTAGGTTTGAATAAAATTGAAGAAAAATATATTTAGTTGTACTGTTTGTATCCGGCTGGTTTTAATATCAATACATGTAGGACATTAAGAAATAGAAATATAAAAAGTAAAAAACATTTTCCCGCCATTTTTCAATTATATTTCTGGCCACCAAATGAGTGAATCTAACGAAGAAATTCGCTACATTCCGAAGTTTTATTACAAAAATGGGAAAAATGCGACTCTAACCACGAAAAAACTAGATGATTCAAGCGTTTTCAGTTCGGGAATTTTGATGATTTCGGGGATTTGTCAAAAATGCAGCTTGCACTGTACGAACTCATACGGATAAAGTCGATGCCATTTTGATCCATTTGAAAAAGTCTGGTTATACAAAAAAGCTCGATATTTGGGTATCACACGAGCTCACTGAAAGGAACCTAATGAATCGTGTACTCATTTTCGATTCTCTATTGAAACGTAATAAAACCGAACCATTTTTGAAAGGATTTATCATGAGTGCTGAAAAGTGGATCACCTACGACAAGAATATCACACAATAAGGTGATGCTATGTGCATGGCGAGATTAGAAGGGCATCATTTATTATGAGCTTTTACCACCGGGGAAAATCGCTTCGGATCTTGAAAAAAAAACTGAAATTTCTGAAATTGAGAAAAAAACGGCCGAAATTGATCAACAGAAAAGGAGAGGCCTTTCATCATGACAATGCCAGACCATACACATCTTTGGTCACTCACCAAAAATTGAGAGAGCTTGGTTGGGAAGTGTTAATGCGTCCACCATATAGTACTGACCTTCACCCTCAGATTTTCACCTGTTTCGGTCTCTTGAGAAATCTTTGGGTAGTGTTAGGTTAACATCAAAAGAGTACTGTCAAAACTACTTGTCGCATTTTTTTAATCAAAAATCCAAAGATTTCTACAGCAACGGTATTATGTCACTACCTACAAGATGCCTGCAAGTTATCGAACAAAATGGCACATATATATTATAATTAAATGTAATTAAACTTTGAAAAAAAAAAGTTTTGTATTTTTATATAAAATACACACGAAGAAACTTTTTCCCCGACCTTATATAAAGCGATGATAAAAGATAATCATCAGCTAAATTATAGCCTCACTAAATATAATTGAACAATTTTATTATTGGTTTCTTTATTTTACAATGTTGTATTTTATCATAATAACTTTTACAAAAAATCAGCCCTGAATTATAATACTGTTAAAAATAATAATTGTTAAAATTATTAATTTTTTTTTTCAGATATATGGTTTTCCCCCAAAATTTTTCTTCACCGTCGAATATGTGATAATGAAGCGCTTAAAATTGGATGTAACAATTATTCCTTAGTGAATGAAAATTATTTTCATTCGCATTGGTGATATAATAAAAATAAAAGTAAATTACAAAAAATTAAATAGGTAGTTGAAATGTTAAGTCCTACAATCCTATAATTAGTTTCAATTTAAATTTATTAAATATTTAAATTGATTCAGCGGTTATAGTTCAAATACTCTTACTATTTTTGCGTAAAGAGTAATATATAATTATGCTTCAATCATTATGTTATTTCTTAAAATTAGAATAATGATGTTTAATAGATAGTATTGATTTGGAAACATTCTGAGTTATTCGTTTTTTTCAACTAAGGAACACGGATCATCCGCTCTCGTAATGCAAGTTTAAAAATGTCTATATAGTTTAATTTATTTTATAAAATGTATTGCAAGTTTGTTAGTTCTATTTGTTTTAGTACCTATTAAAGTATTTAGTATCGAAGAATTCATTGTACTAAATAGTTCGATGAATTTAATGCATGGCAGAATGTTTATTATTTAATTTCTTATGTTTCCAGTTTATGTTGCGCCATAAAATTAATAAAGTTAATTCAATTTTCACAAGAACTAGCTATAACGTGCTTAAGCACATACGTTTTACAATGCACAATGTAATTGCCGTTATTTGAATAGTTCAGATAATAAGTATTAAGCGAGACTTTGTCTTCTACAGCGAGATGTCAAATGTAAACATTGCTGCGAGATCGCTTTTTCGCCAAATCGTCAACGTTCGTCTATTTTTATACGAAACGTCTTCCGTCTGTCTGTCTGCCACCTGCCGTTCTTACGCAAACTGCACTTGAACACAAATACCATAGTTCACGACGTCAACGTCTTGACGCGCATTCCAAACTCATACAAACTTTTATCTACCGTGTCCACGGTTTATCAAAACGAAAAACTCAGACACGAATCATCTGTTCGGATATAGCTCCTCGCGGAGTGGGTCGCGGGGAATCCTCCCGGAATTCAGCGGCGAGTCGCCCGCCGTCTAAATCGGTCGCACTCGCCGTTCAGCCGCTCGGTGGGTCGCGCGTTCCCGCGTCTAAATATATCTGCGTGTGCGCAGGTCGCCGTACGTGACGCTGGGAGCGGTGAGGTACACCGTCCGTCGCGTGCCGCCGCCGCGCGCCTGCCCGTGCCGCTGCTGCTCCGAGGAGGCGGTGGCGGCGTGCCTCGGCCGCGCCAAGCCCGATCGCCGCACGCTGGAGCGCTTACAACGCCGCCTGGGCCGTGGCGCGCGCGAAGAGCGGCCCTCGCGCCACCAGCGTTTGCAGGACCTCACCAAGCGCCTGCTGCCACGCGCTCACGCACCTCCGCCACCGCCGCCACCACCACCACACTCGGCGCCAGTGCTTCCGCCAGTGCCACCGCCGCGGTCCCGCCACCGCCACAGCCCGCCGCGTGGCGCCTCCGTCGACCGCTATGACGAATTCGACACCGACAACATCACCCTAGTCCGCGTCGAGCCACGGTCAATCGTAGGCTCTTACGCACAGAAAACTATACCCTACCGAAGCGCGTCTTTTTCGCAAGGCGATTTCGCGCAGGACAAATACTACCGCAATATCGATCGGCAACAATCGATCTTTGACTTTGGAAAGAGATCCGCAAAAACTGAAGCAGCGCAAGCTACGACTGAGCGCAATAATGATACAAGAAGTCTTGGTGCCGAAGAGAATGTAACTGAAGGTGGATCGGTTGCATCAGTTGACTCCGCTGTAGGTTCAGACGAGGGTTTGCTGGCGCACGCTTCACCTGCTCCTCGATCTCCGCCCCCCGATGGACCGCATAAACAATTTGGTGCTCGTTCGTTGACTCATCCGTTACCGCGTCGCGTACCCCCTGTTCGGGAGGAGGGTCCGGCTGAAGCAGGAGGCAGTTTACCTGCCTTAGCGCCGCGCGTCTTACATGAACTTCGTGAAGAAAGTGACGGCTCACAAGCCGACAGTGCGCAGGCGCATAGTGAAGGTACCTCACCTATGGAACCTGCGCAACCTTTCGCTTTCCCACCTCTCCCCGATCCTCCCCCAAACGCATGTGCAAACGTAGACTGTGAGTGTGGTAATTTTACGGTTGACTCTGAAGAGACTGCAAGCGCGATCGCGAGTTCAATACCCGTGCCCGTGTATGAGTGTATAGTGAAACAGTGGTCAAAAGAGTTACCGTCAGACGAAGCACAACGCTCGGATGTAGCGTCCGATGGTTCATTGGACAGGGACAAAGAGGACGAAACTATAACTAGTGAACAGGTGGCGAATTTATTAGCAGCAGTTCAAAACCCGTGTACACCGGCCCCAATAGGTGCCAGAGAAAGGCGTCGACCGTTGGATAAAACAAAAAGAAGGAAAGGAATTTACATAACTACTGCGAGTGACGATGGTGGTGAGGAAGATCCACCACCAGCAGTAAACGGTTGCAAGCGCGAAAGTAGTGACGCTTCATTACAAGATATGCGTCTGTCTGCTGAAACAAGGACTTCCTCACTCCTTGGTGATAAATCAGATGATTCATATACCAATGGACCACCAAGTCCTGCTGAGAGCGTAATGCCTTTGTGGCCGAGGTCAGAAGAGCTACGAGCAAGACGCGCGCGGTTTTCTCAACAAAGCTCCGATGAGAGAGAAGAAGATACTTACAGAGTGAGACGAAAGTACGGTGTGACATCGCGCGGGGATTCGCCTTCGGAGGCGGAAAGTGACACATGTTCGCGCGACCGGACCGCATCACCCTCTCCTTTCACTCCATCTGATAACTCGGATGTTGAGGCCAAAAAGCAACAGTTCACAAGAGGTCCCTTCGGTCGTAATTTAGAAGCGCCATCTACTCGATCTGTGGAAACCAGTAGAAGGAGTTTTTCGGACGCGACAGTTCCTTGTCGCAAAATAAGCGCAGGCGCTGCTCCGATATCTGGGAACAGACCACGTGGCCCCACACACGTCCGAGCAACTTCGTCACCCTCCAAGTTGGCAGGTGTGAAGCCAGGCGCCGATTTGTTGGCCGAGCTACTACGCGGCAGCTCCGAAGCCCTGTCCAACTCGTCGGCCTTCGACAACGTGATTCTGACGCTCCATCAGCACAATGTAAGTACAATTCTTTGCACACTTTGTAATTGCCTATTTGACCCCGTTTCCGTTAGCACAGTGGATACAACAAAGTTAGTAACTGAGGATGTTATAATGTTTATATTAGTAGAAAATAGACTTAACACAAAACAACTAAGTGTTTTTGCGAATGTTTATTCGGATGTATATCCTATATTATTTAGCGCGTCAGTCAAAAGATCGATGGCTTGCAATTAGTTCGGTTTCGTTTTCGAGTTTTTCTTAATTCGTGTTCATATTCACGGCCGTGTATGTTTAAATTTTAAATACATTATTCGTATTCCCCGACATTTCTCGCGCCAATGTCGTATGAATCACGGTACAGCTGTTCCAGAAACATTAAAAATCTTAAGGGCAATTGAGTTTATAAATATACCTCTGACACTGAACTTAGCGTTTTTCGCGATAAGGACAAATTAAGAAATTTACTTAATTAAAACATTCCGCACTTTTTGAGTTGCATCAGGTATACGCCTAATAAGTCCTGGAAATTTATGCTTGAGGATATTCGCATTATTTAAAAGAATCAAAAACAGAAACTTTACTATTAATTTACACCGTATTAAGCTTAAAATTGGACAGGGAAATAGGGCGTCCTCTGACTAGACGGCGACGCCTTGGTAAGAGATGCAGGAAGTCGATGGATGGTGGCTTAGGACCGTGTTTTATGGCATTCCTTGGGTGATGCTGATGTTCAGTAGTAGTATTGTGATGAGCTGTAATGGTGCTGATCGAGAATTAAAAAGATATGGTTTAAAATATGTTTACTTAACAGGTAAACTTTTACAAAATTCTCCGGGCGGATTTGAGTATGGTAGACTAAAGATATTTCGAATTAAAGCTGTAAAGTATATTTAGTGAAGATTCGCTTAAAAATAAATTAGCGTGTAAAAAATTTGACAATTGCATGAACTATCACGTCTACCACTTAACACGACACTAATACACTATGAAACAAACACAACCGTATATATTCCATTTATTCTATTTATCTACATTTTATTGTACAATAATACATATTCTATTAAGAAATTATTTGAACCTGCCACAGTTTCTCAAATCATACTGGGCTGACTGGTAGAGCATGCTTAAAGGCAATAAGTCCGTCCTTTATATCCCTTATAAGATTATTAACAAAGATTAAATGAATAATAAATAACCGCTGAACATGGGTTTCGCCAATAAATGTGGCATCATCAGGAGCAAAATATTTTTTTTTATAGGATAAGGGCAACAAGCGACAAGCGAGTAAACAGACCACCTGATGGTAAGTGGTTGCTGTGGCCCATAGACATCTACATCTATCCTCGTTTGCGAATCAAAATAGCGTTAGAGAGATGCGTTGCCAACCGTGAGGACTAAGATGGAATGCCTCTTTTCCAGTAAAAGTCTCCAGTAACACTCACCATACGAAACACAGCAGCATTAGGCTGCTATTTTACGCTGGTATTCTGTGAGAGCGTGGTCCTTCCCCGGTCGAGCCGACCCATTCGTGCTACAACTATACAATCAATATCGCAGCAACGTGGCTCTACCACGTTTATAAAGAATCTACGATGGCTTACCACTAAGGCGCTAAGATGCCCTTCAAAGTAATACACACCATTGTACATTTGACGCCGAATATTAGCTAATTATTTTTATGTCTTTATTCTTCTTTCTTGATCGCTCTGTAAAAGTCCTCTGTTGGACAGGGGCCTCTCTCTCTCTTTCTCTCTCTCTCTCTCTCGTTGGCTTAATCGTCACGGTTGACAGACTGATTGAAGATCGAGACGTCTCGAACCTATGACGTTGTTGCCTGTCGCCGGTTTGGGTATTTAAAGACTGTGGTAAACGTAATTATTGTATCTCTATATCGAAAGCCATAAGATATTTCTGGAATTTCCCATAATCGCCGATGGATCCTCTAAAGCCGCCATCACACGGCGTGCCGCCGTATCTCATTAATTTCATATCTATTAATATTTGTTTGTTCGTATTTTATGCGCTGCCATGCCTTTCATCAGAGTGCGGTAAAATTTTGTCAAGTTGCTTGTTTGTTTGTCAAGTTGTAGGCTCCGTGGCGCAGTGGCTTAGCAATCAGTTGTTGCGCTGGGGGCCGCGGGTTCGAATCCCGCACGGAACAAGTATTTGTTTGCCTATAAATAAGTGTTCCGGGTCTGGATTTTTGTCCTTGTGCAATTTATGTTTGTAAACTGCCTCTACGACACAGGAAAAAATCCTAGTGTGGGGGTGACGTTTTTTTTTAAATTAAAAAAATAAATAAACTTGCGTTAAGGTTTGACGGCTCTGTAACGCAGTGGCTTAGGAATGAGTGCTGCGCTGGGGGTCGCGGGTATAGGCATAGTACAATTAACTTACACTAGGTGGCGTGCGAATCGTACCGACATATTTATTTGAAAGTTATATATCATTCAATGTCAATGAATGTACTCGCATTATCATTCCTAATTAAACAATAGAACTCTTGTAAATTCAAAATTATATTTCCACAAATTTTTCTTCTGCGGCAGTAACGCGCCGGGTACCAGCTAGTCTTAAATAAATTTAATCTCCACAAATTGATGTCTCATAATCATTATCATTAAAGCCTATCACGAATCCGCTGCTGAACCTAGATCTCGCCAAGAGAATGCCATAAAACACGGTCCTGGGCCAGCGTCTACCGATTTCTTGCATACGTGGTAGAGCCATGCTGCAGCTATATTAGTAGTATAGTTGTAGTACAAATGGGTCAACACGACCGGGGAAGGACCACGCTCTTACAGAATACCAGCGTAAAATAGCAGCTTAACACTGCTGTGTTTCGTATGGTGAATGTAGAGAACCGGAGACCCTTTTTACTGGAAAAGAGGCATTCCATCTTGGTCTTCATGGGTAATGCAGCTGCGAAATTCTTTATTGAGGGTATATGTGGATGTCTAAGGGTCACAGCAACCACTTACCATCAGGTGGACTGTGTGCTTGTTTGTCACCCAATCCTATAAAAAAAAATCTTACCCAGGCGAAACTGGGGAGGACCGCTAGTATGTTAATAAGCTCAGTATCTGTATCTGATCTAAAAATAAACAGTTCCTAAACAAAACCCCAATGTATTTCGGATTTCTTATACAAATACGGCAAACCAAAAATAATTTAGAAAAATCCAATCGCTTTTATAATTTTTTGAAAAGAAAACTATAGGATTTGTTGCTAAAAACACCATGCCGAGGCCATGCAGACGTGGAATATTCCTAATTTGTAGGGGCTATTTTAAACCATCGCGCACCACGACGCTTTGAGAGCCCATCTTGAACGCGTCTCTTAATTATTTTCACAAACACGATAAATTTTATCTAACGGTCATGAACAGTCTCTAAAACTGCAAATTGAGTAGTTTATTCTGAACCAAACCAATATTCAACATTATTATCGTATCTTTATTGCTTTATTATTAAAAAGGTCGAGATTTAATATTAAAAAAAATTAAGATTTTGAAAAGTATAACAATGAAATGAAATAAAATTTGTGAATTATAACTTAATTAAGAAAGAAAGAAAGATGATAAATTTCTCTTACATTTATTTGGTGAGTATAGACAAAAACAGGCACATTTATACATATAGAAATAAAAAAAACACAACAATACAGACGATGAATAAATGCAGTATAAAAAAACAAAAGTTCCTCCGTTACTATTAGTTAACGCGTTCTCTGTATTTCTGTTTGTGATTATATATTATCATTCTCTTAAGGTATAGCTTATTCCAATATGTTCTTTACAGGTGAAGTAAGCTCAAGATGTGTGTTTGCATATGAAATTGTATCCATATGCTATTTATATCTGTGGAACGCCTCCAAGATATGAAAAATTCTTACTCAGCGAATTATATATACAAAACAATGTAGAGTTGCCGATTAAGAACCTGATTGCTAATTTCTTACTATTTAAGACAGACAGTTTCTTTATTATGGGCTCGAGTGATTGATATTACCCAAGGCAGATTTCACACATCAAAATATCTACTGTGAAAGCGACTAAAGCAAAACAGAACAGTGTATTTATTACTGGCAATTTCTATCGTATTCGTATCATTGATGATGTGTCCACACGGGAAAAAATAATGCTGGTTTATTTTCTTGTGGTGACAACACTGACAATATTTCAGGTTTTTTTTTTAAATTCAGAAGTGAGAAATGATCTGACAATCCAAATGACGAAGCCTACAGTTGCTTTGTCACCTCAGGTCGCGCGCGCGAAGTCTAAGATGAAACGCCTTACAGTTGTTTTGTTGTTTCAATATAATTTATTTAAAGATATTATTAGCTAAGATACGCATAAAAATTTGCGTAATTATTATTAACGTATTTATTTTATTGGATTTCCGCAAAGTAACGCCTGATTCTTGAAATTATGATTTATTTGTTTTTTTTTAATTTTAATAACTGAACTTTACATTTACTTTAGCTTTCTTTCTTCCAGTGATTCAGCATAAGTGCACCATAACGAATGTGAGCCTATTATTCTCAAGTTATAATGTAACTACTGCAATTATCTATGTTCAAAACGTGTTTGAAATGAAGAATAAATTTTTACACAATCCTTATATTATAGTTAAAATCTTTTGTTTCTTTATGTTGGTTTGGGAACAAACAACATAAAAAGTTACTCGTAAATGTAGTAGATTCCCGTAAGAGAAAAACAAACGCATACAACGTAAAAAACATTGTTTTAAAGGAACCTATCTTTTCAAACATTTTTTTTTGTAGAATAAGGGTGACAAAGGAGCACACAGTCCACCTGATGATAATTCGATGCCCATAGACATCTACATCTATACTCAATTAAGAATCTAAATGCAGATGCGTTGTCACCCTTTACGACTAAGATGGATAGGTCTGTTATTCTCTACACTCACCATACGAAACACAGCAGCATTAAGTTGCTATTTACGATGGTATTCTATCAGGGCGTGTACCTTCCCCGGTCAAGCCGACCC